ATCTTTATTTCTACTACTTATAAAAGTATTAAAACACTTATTAATAAACAAACTGATAACCTCCTACTTCAGCTCTCAAACAATCTATTAAACTGGTTTTACCAAGATCTCTGGTCTACTCACAATACATACCAACACCAATAAAAAATATCCTGTAACATTACATTAAAATCTAAATATACCAAAATTTATTTACCAATATTATCAAATTCTCTAAACAATATAACAATTTCTTCTTAAACTATAAATACTAATCCTTTTATTATCAAATAGCTTATACAATGTTATTCACTAACTACTTGTATTTAATAATGTTCAGACAATCACTTGAAGGTCTTCTTCAATCTATCCTAGCTAGAACCTAATTTGAAATAGTTAGCTATAGCACTCATAGGAAATAGGAGGTGTAATGTTACATTGGGTGCCAACTTGTAGCACAAATGTAGTTTAGAAATCTTTAATTTTAGAACTTATAATTCTATATGTACAAAGTTTCTATTTGAACATTATATTAATAAAAAAAAAAAAAAAGTATAATTTCAAGAACTCTAAATATTATAAGACAAGTGATATATAGCAGCAATAATTCTGATTATTTAATTCATTTTAAGACAAATGCATTTTGGGGCTTAAAGTAAGAAACTATTAAGTATTTTATTTATTATAAATTATTAAAATAGCAAGTATGGGTGTTATTTTAAATTTTATTCAAATTAAGCTTAATTAGAGCAATATTTGAAATAATGTCATGTCTACTTTTGATAATTTTGTTAATAAAAATGTAATTTATAACTAATAAGAATTATAGTAACTTTAATATATATAATGCTATTATACCTGATTGAATGTATACTTTGGACCTTAGCCTTTTTAAGTATATGTTAGATTATACTAAAAAGCTTTTATTTGAACAATGTAGTAACTATGTGTTACAAACCTTTGAAAGATAATTGACATCAATATCTCGATATAAAGCTCTTAAAATAATAAAAAGCATAGATTTAACACACATGACAGCTGAAGAATTGCAGAATATAATAAAAATAATTATTTTTGCTTTTAATAACCTATATGAGAATTATAAAAAGCTGAGAATTAATAACAAATAATTATGACAAGCTTATTACAAATTCCTTTAAATGTATATTGCCACCCATAAAAATTATTTACTTATAATTTATGTAACCAACTTTAGGTATGAATAAATCATTATTTACTTATAATTAAATTTATAGACTTTTATTATAGATTGGGTCAAAGAGTTTGTTGAAATTTTTCAAAATACAATCCAAGTAGTCTCCAACTTCCAAAGTTTTATATTTGGTATTATCATCTAATATTCACAATTCACAAATATAGATCAGTAAATAGTATAACTACTGAGACTTATAAAACCCTTTATAAAAATTATATAAAAAGATTCTATTGTATATCAAATAAAAGAGATTATATAAAACAAATTTTATGAACAGTAAGTTATAAATATTATCTCTTAAACTGTTTTCCAGACAAATTTGCCTGAAAATTTCATGATTGATCTGTGATTAAGCTATCAAATTATATTGAATTATAGTCTAAATCGTAGTAGATACATAGTTAAATTGACAGTTTAAGGGATAACTAATCAATAACTATCACTAAGCACTGGTTAAAAATAAGATTTTAATTAAATAATACTTATAATATAGAGTATATGCTTTCTATATTACAAGAATTGTTTAATATTTTTTTTAACTAGTGAATAATTGTTATTATTAGATTCAATGTAGTGATCTGCATTACATTATACTAAGACCTTTCTTCAGATAACTGGCAAATCATTAATTATATCTTTAATTTATATATTTTTAGTATATAATCTTTTTCTTTATTATTTTTTTTAAGATTTTGGCAGTTTAACTTGCTACAACAGTTTTTTTTAAAAACTAGCATGTTATTTAGCTTTACAAATTCTAGTTTTGTTTCCTAGATTTAATTTTTATAATAATAATTTCAAAAGTTCTCTATTTAGATCTTTTATATAAATTTCAGTTTTTCTGTTTCTTATAATTTATAAAACTACAAAAACTTATTATAAATTCATATTATCAAATACCAGTTTGTGTTCTTTTATATAAGATATAATTATTATACAATTACTATATGATTTTATAATTATACTAGTATAATATAATAACAAATATCTGTTACCAACTAATAATGAAAAATAGTTAACTATAATACAGAAAAAATTTTAAATTTTTATTGATACAGAAATTTGAACTCCAGAACTGCTATTTAGAATTTAATAATATAATTACTTTACTATATTGTTATAATTTTAGATATAGTATTTAGTATAAAATGTATTTAGTATAAAATCTATATAGTAATATATAAATAAACTACTTAAATTATATAATAAAGTATATATATAACTAATTAAAACCTTTTATATAAAGAAGTTTTGTCTATCTAACTATATTACACTTTTAGGCAACTTAACTAACAATCCTATACATATACTTAACTATTTCATTAAAAATGCAACTTGCATTAAAAAACAAATTTGTATTCTATTACAAGATATAAGTAAAACTTATAACTCAGTAAATATTTAACTTTTTAACAAAGCACTATAACAAATATATATGCCTACATGTTTAGTCAATATTATAATTAATCTACTTCAAAATCACTCCAATCAAGTAATTACTAACTTTAGTTCCTCTCTTTTATATGAAGTACAGAATGATATTGGCTAAAAAGAAACTATAACATCTCTTCTTTGACACATATACTATGATTTACTTATTAACAATATAAACAAAAGATATATTGGTTATAACTTAACAACCAAATGGATCTTCCAACTTAATTTAATAAATATCAATTAGCAACAACTTCAACATCAACCTTGGCATACATAAATAATACATTATAGTTAGCTAAAACTAAAAAATAACCCCAAAAGATAGTACAAACAGCATTAAGAGTAGAGATGATGTAGATTATTTTTACTAGTAATTTTATAGCAAATTATATGATATTATATGATTTAGATATAAAATATTGGTTACATTATATGAATTTTCTATATAAATCTTGTGTGATCTAGGAAACTCATAAGCTGACCTAGGCAACTTAGTAATATATAAAGTATTTTTTTTAAATAAAATAAATTATAAAATTTTATCAAAATAATTAGAAGATATAGATTTATATACAATTAAATTTTGGTAACAATTGAATATAATACTAAAAAGGTTTATTAGTAATATATATTTTTTTTATATATAAAATTTTATTTGCTAGGAAAATCATATGACAAATAATTTACATTACTTCTATTCTTAATATTCTATATTATGTTCTATATCAAAGTTAACACACATAAATTTATCCTAATTTCTAATACAATATTAACTCCAATATTATCTTGCTACATATCTTTTAAGTTTCTAAGATGTTGGTTCACAATCACTTTTAAATGTGCCACCCAAATTAAACTAATTAAACAAGAAGCACTAAGACTTAATAAAATTCTTAAAATCAAAAATATAACAAATAAACAAGTAGTATATATTATTAATACAGTTATTATTCCTACTTTAGAATATTATATACAATTGCACTTCCATATAGTCACCTCCCTAATAGTACATTTTCTATTATTTGCCTAAAAATTTAGTCAGAATTATATTTATATTAAAATTCTTTCTATAATGTCACAATTTCTATATAAGCACTATTACCAAATTCTGTAAACAATTTTAAATAAATTTTATTTATAAAATCACAATTTTTATATAGTTACAATTTTAAAATATAAAAATAGCTAAAATATAAACAGCTTTTTATAAAATCACATTTATAAGTATTTCAAGTTTCTATATATTTTTTTTAATTTTGATTTTTTATGATATTTGAATTTTTATAATTAAAAATAAGATCTAATTCTTATCTGTTTAAAAAAATTAGCTCCATAATAAGTTGATTTTATTAGGTTTTAAGAAGTTATTACTATATCAACTTTTTTAAATAGATAAGAATTAAGGTCTTATTTTTGGTTATGAAGTCTTATAGCTTTACTAAAATCTTCTATATAGCTTTTTTTTTTATTATAATTAGTTTTTATTTTTTTAAAAAGTACTCTAAACTGTATAATTAATATAAAATTAAATTGAATTTATTAGACAATTAGACAAACTTCTACCTATGAATCTTTATGCAAAGTGATGATAAATTATGAAATTAAAAAGAAAAGTAATCATACAACCTATCACAAATATCAGAAACAGTGCAGACATCATACCAAATTCATAGCAGCATATGCCAGCAACATGAAAACAATACAGCAACTAACAATAATAGTATACCAAAAAAGGTATAAATATAATAAATAATGAATAAAGTTCACCTTAGTAACAAATCTGAAAACAAGAAAATTTTTTAACCCTCATCAATCTTGCAATAACTTCTAGTACAATAATTTGTAAATTATTCAAAATGTCTTTGCTGTTTCTGACTAATCTTGGTTAATTATTCATATTATAATAAGTAATGTACTAAAATATTTCTTAATTGCTTAAATAAAAATTACCTCCAATTTAATAAATAATTGCTGGCTTAGCCCAAACAAGAGTATAATATATGAAGTGATGCTTTTTGAACATATGAATATTAGTATGTACTAGTTATAGTTAATGCTAAAATTGGTATCTGTCAATTATTCTAAATTTGAATTAGATTAGTATTAGTAAAAATTGAGTAATAATAACAATATAGCAATAGAAAAACTTATTTTATATTATTATTTGATCTTATAATTTATCTTAAATAGCAAATGAGGCATAAGTACCTTTATTCTAAATAGTAATATGTATAAAATAAAAAGATTTTTGTTAAGAGTAAATATTAATAGTACTAAATTTTCTTAATTTTTTGTCCCTACCTAATCTATTAAAGATAGATGAAACTTAAGATAAAACATAAAATAAAAAATATCAATGTAAGATAAAATGTTAAAAAAAAACATAAGGTAAAACATTAAAAAAAAAAAAAAAGTTATTATTATTTTACTTATCTCTTTTTTTTTCTAATAGAAAAATTGAGTTTGTATAGAAAATTAAGCATTATTGCTATTCTTTTTTTAAAAAATTTTTGTATATACATATAATACATTTTGTTATTATATAATTATGTAAATTTATACACCTTTAACTTAAAAATGTTAGTAAACTATAAAGCTTCAAAAATGCATAGATGTTTAAATAACTTGCAACAAAAGAAAATTTGTGAATATGCCTAACAAAATCTAAACACAAAATATTATAAAATCATACAAGAGTTTATAAAAAGATATTCAGGCTTAAAATTAGACCATTCTACTGTATTAAAAGTTTTAAAAAATCATGAGTTATATAAAAATGTAAAAGATGAAAGTGTATTTAAAACCAGTTTCATCATAAGCTTGTAAAATTTTCAAAACTTGAATTTGTTATGAGAACTTGAGTACAATAAGTTGTTGCTGCAATATGCCTTTACATAACCACTTGTTAAGAGAAAAAGGAATAGAGTTTGCTTATGCACTTGATATTAAGAAAGAGGATTTATTATTTTCATCTGATTGGATCACTAAATTTAAAAAAAAGAATCAACTTCATTATATTACAACTCATAGTGAATCTGAAAGTGCACTACTTGAATCTTTGCCAGAATTTTGACTACAACTGCAAGATATTACATCTCATTATTATCTTGATGATATTTATAATGCAGATGAAACTAGGCTCTTTTTTTGTATGCTTTCTAGCCAAACACTCTCAAATAAATAGTAATATAAAAAAAAATTGGTAAAGTTTTTTTTTTCTTAATTATATGTATATATATTTTTATACACAATATATATATTTTATTTTAAAATTTTTTTTTAATAGAACAAAGCATGAGTTATAGTATTATTTGCAGCAAATTTTACTGAAAAATATAACCTTCGACTACTTGTAATTGGACAATCTGAAAAACAATAATACTTTAAAAACATTAATATTTCTCAACTTTCAGTAACTTATCATTCTAATAAAAATACATAGATGAGATCAAATATATGAGAAGAATGGCTATGATATAATGCTAATATTTTTTATAATCAAAAATAAAAAATTCTACTGATTATGGACAATATGTGTTTATACATTTCTTTAAGTTCTGCAAACTTAGAAGTTTTAAGCATCAATGCTATATTAACTAATATTGCAGTACACTATTTGTTACTAAATACAACATCTCATATTTAACTGATAGATTCAGATATAATTAAAAGTTTTAAGTCAAAGTACAAATGATTTTATTTTCAGTATATTTTAAAGTTATTTGAGAAAAAATGCAACATAGAAAAGAAAGATTTTTTTTATATATAGTTTTAATAGTTATTAATTTATTATATTTATTAAATTATAGTAATAAATTAAATATCAAACAAGCCATTGATTTTATTGTGCATTTATAGAATGAAATAAATAATACTATGATCAAAAATTATTAGAATTCTACTGGCATATTTCTTGACATAACCAATAAAAATAAACTAGAGCAAGAGCTATTTTTTATGAATACTGATGATGAATATGAAACTATTGATATTACTGATAACAGGTTTTTATTTTCTAGTTTTTTTTTTTTAAATATATATATTTATTTTTATTTTTATTTTTTTTGGTATTAAGAAATATATATATTTATAAAACTAACTTTTTTGGTTTTTATTTAACAAAGACCTGAAAACAGCTGAACTTAAGAAAAATCTTGAATTATATTATAAAGTCATTAATGAGCCTCTTGTAATGGAAGATGTAATGAATGATAATGAAATTCTTGCAATAGTTTATAAAACATTTGATTCTAAACTAGCTGTAACAGACTCTAAAGAAAATTAAGTGTCTCTACCACCCTTAGTAAATTTGCCAGAAGCAATAAATGCACTGAATGTCCTTATTTAATTTCAGAAACAAAAAGAAAGTGATGATAGATTAAGCCAGAAGAGTTAGATATATTATACAAAAAAGTGTATTATTTTAAAAGATTGAAAAATGAATCAAAAAAGCAAATTAATCTCTTTTGCTATTTTGGTAACCAAACTTCTAAAAATTTATTTGAGGTGAGTTTATTTTGTTATAATACAGTATATAAATACTTTATTGTAACTATTAAATTTTATTTAGTAACTACAGTACCTGTATCTCAAAATGTCAATAAAATCAAAAAAGATAATAAGAGTTTTAGTAACTATAGATATAAAATTACAGAATTTATAATGCAGTTTTAATAATTGGATTAATGAATATGAATCAACAAATATTTTTTTTGTGTGCTTAATTCTATTTTTAGTAAATTATTATAATAAAAAAATAATTTGCTTTATACTAGTTCAATTTTAGTCATTCTTTTAAAAGTCAAAAAAAACTATAAGAATAGTAATTTAAATAAAATATAAATGCTATTTATTTATAATTCTACTAAAGCAAAATAGCTTGTGTTTTGTAGTAATCATATCTTGATAAGCTTGCTAATCTTTGTTTTTAAAATATACTAATTAAGTTTAGGCCAGTATTTACTTTTATTATTAGAGCATGTAATTAATTAAGATGCTTCTAATAGTGATTTATTACAAATTCATAATTTAAATAGTGTAATTCTATAGAAAAAATAATTATTGCTCTATGTTTTTTTAATTTAAAAGTAAACCTATTAATTGAGAACAATATACTTGTAAATAAAATCAAATTTTATATATAAATATATTTATAAGAACTGGGCTCATAATACTTATACTGATAAGACTATTATAATAACTAACTACAAAATTACATTTTAAAATTTATTTATTTTTTGATATGATTAATTAAAATTTTACTGTGTACAAAACAAATTATGTATTTAGAACAACTGACTTCAAGTGATAACTCAGTGCTATTAGACTGGTAACATATTTCTTTACAAATACAACAAATTCCCAAAAGTTATAAACCATTATAGTTTTTAACTTTAAAAAGCAAACTACTTGCCTTCTAACAAACAAGAGAAATTAATTCTCAACATTTATAGTTATTAAATATAAATATACTATCTTTTACAACTAAACATTATAAAATAAAACCAAAATTCTAGCTAATAATATACAACCAAACTGATATAATTATCAGAAAAGCCAGAAGACATAATCAAATAGATGACTCTATTTCTATTATACACTAAACAATTCAGTTTGACACTTCACAAACAGCATTATATCTCTACTTAGACTACATCTGCAAACAATGTACAAGATGCTCTTTGAACTCTTAATATATACAAAACAAATATATATTTGATATTACAGCTAGTTTTGCAACCAAATTTTTAAGAAGAATTGTCTATACAAACTCATTAAAAAAACTTAATTTGCATTCTAAGCTACTGAACTTACTCTACTCAATTGCATTAAGACACTCTGTTACAATATCAATATTCTCTAAAATTACAATTCACAATAACCTGATACTTGAAATATTAATAACAATTATTCTACACAAACATTACAACAAATTACATAATATAATACTAATTATTTACAACTAACTTTTTATACTAATGGATCAGTAATACATATTACATCTGAATAATATAAAATAGAAATTGGTTAGATTTATATCTAAAATAATACAATTATACAAAGCTATTTAGCAAAAATTAAGCTTTAGTCTTCCTTATACAAAGCTGAACTTATTACTATTTTATTAACAATTAGTACCTGTTCTAGATTTAGTTGGGTCACAATTTTTACAAACTCTCAATTTATAATATCTAAATATAAAAAACTTCTAAAATTATCACCAATATCAAACAAACAATATTCTTACAATTATTGGCTAATATGACACATTCTACTAAATCTAATTAAAACTTACCAAATCAAAGTTAACTTTTAAAAAGTAGTCACACATAGCAACAACATCTTTAACAATATAGCAAATAAATTAGCAAAAAACTGAACCCATTTATACACATTAGAATTTACACATAACAATATATATAACCTAGTATACTATATACATATAACAATCTCACATTTGAACAACCAACAAGAAGATCTATTAAAAACATTTGTAATGCTCAAAACATTGCAATGTAGTCATTACAACACTATATAAAAAACACTATATCAATAACTATATGAATTAACTGAAATGCAATATGGTCTTATTTCAATAACAACAATACTATACAACAATTTTTTAATTCTAGTAAATTGGAAATTACAAACACTAAATTACAAGAACTATATAACAAACTGTTTAGCTATCAATGTCTAACTTCTAATAACTATATCCCAAATAGCACAAATGTCTATACAGCTCTACAAGAATATGTTCTTTAGCTACTTATTTAAACAATCTGAGAATATACAAATTCTAACCAAATTGCAACTAATATTACTACTAAATTATTAATAAAACTATTAAATAATATATACAACCAAATCTGAAAACTATATATACAAAACTAGTCAATTGAAAACACCAACACAATTTACTAATTCAACCTACATGCACATAAACAAATACACATAATAATTCAAACAATACAGAAAGCATATACTACTCTAGATTACTATACACTTGTGGTTTGGCAGACCAACAATATATAGAAGATGAACACAATATTTGCTTACTTATAAAAATAGTAAAAAAAAACATCTATTATGATATCTGAATAGATTAAATATAGCACTTCAACTAACAATATAATTAACTACCAAATTAGTAATATTTTAATTAACAAGACCTAGATGAGATTTAACTACTTTAGTAGGTTTAGGTTACAGATAAATTAGATTAAACTAGGTAGTCTTAGTATATCTATAGTCTGAGTCTCATTCTTGTAAACAATTTGTAAACTCAACCTTTGGTTAAAGAAACCCTTTGTGGATTCTTAATACAAATTATAATAAAGATAAAGGCAAAATCTTACCTTAAAAAAAATAAAATAAAATAAAGAAATTCTGAAAATATTCATTTATATAACTTAAATAAAAATATTATTTTTTAAAAAATAATAACTTTAATTTAAAAAAATTTAAATTAATATATCAATTTTAAAAACTTGTATAATAATTTAGATTTATCTATTAAATTAGTTGTTACAATTTTTTGAAAAAATATTTAATAAATTTTAATATATTTTTTAAAGTATTGATATTTGCATTATATTAAATATTAAAATTTTGTTAGTATTTGATTATAATATTTAAAATTATTAACTAAAAATTGTTTTAATAACTTTTTAACCAAAACTTATAACTAAAAAAAAAAATTTATTAAAAAAAATTAATAAAACTTTAGTATTTAATATAATATAAATATATTTCTTTTTTTTTACTTTATATATAAAGTTTATTAATATTGTAGTTATTTATAATTAAGAAAAATAAATGTTAGTAGTTTTGTTTTTAAAAAAGTCTTTTGAAAAGATTGGTTTTATTTTGAACTAATTATTTAAAATGAATTGAAAAATATAATATTATTTTAGTTTTTTTTTTTAAATATTAATAATAAAGTTGTCTTTAACTTTATTAAAATTAAATTAAAGTTTTTTATAAAGAAAAGCTTGCTTTTAAATTATATATGAAGAATAAATACTTAGACATATAATCTGTAATCTAAACCTATAAGAGTGATCAAGACTT